GAGCAGGGAGCCCGATGCGGGACTCGATCCCGGGACTCCAGGATCATGACCTGAGCCGAAGGCAGTCGCTTAACCAACTGAGCCACCCAGGCGCCCCAACCCAAAAATTCTTGTTGCAGAAAACAACTATAGGATAATAGCAGTGAATGTGACAAAAGTATATATACAAAGCAGCTCACCGCAGCGCTATTTAGAAGAGTAAAATAATGGAAATAACTTAAGTGTTCAACAATAAAAGATTGGTTAAATAAATTAGGATAAGCTCTATCGTGAAATACTATGGAATCATTAAAAATGGCACAGAAATAAATTTATTGACCTGGGAAAATTTTGTAATGCAGTGTTATTAATTTATTAGGTGAATAAGCAGACAGTAAAATCATATATGCAGTCTCATCTCATTCGGGAAATGTATACTGGAAAATGTATACATATGAGAACTTACAGAAAATGTATTTGCCTATGTTTGTATAAAGAAATCCCTATGGCACCAAAGTGATTATTGCAGTGATAATATTCCCAGTGATTTTAATTTTTGTGTGTGTGCTCATATCCATTTTTCCAAATTTCCTATAATGAACATGTGGTACTTGCCAACCATGCAGAGATTTTTATTTTTGTGCGGGTGGTGGCTGAAGTGGCTGAGGCCACCAGCCATATCTAGGATTCAGACTCAGGGTCTGGGACACCACATCCAGCCCTCGGCCCCTTGCAGCCTTCAACACACCTGCCCTCCTGGTCCCATGCCCCCAAACCAAATCCCACCCTGGCTGGCAATTTTGTAATGCTTAGCTTGGGGCAGAGATATCTGAGCAGGTGGAGTGGCCCCCTTGCCCACCTTTTTGAAGAGTCTGATGACATCCTCACTGATCTGTGAGAGGCGGACGATGACATTGTTCATGAAGATGTCATTGAGGGTGGCATGATCTCGACTCTCCCGCCTGGTCTGATGCAGGACCAGATACCAACAGTTCACGGGCGAGAGGAGGTACTGGTCCTTCCTGTGGAAACCAAGGCAGCTCAGGTTGGCTTCATTGGAACTGTCATCCACACAGTGTTCTGCATTGTCATCCACCGTAGCTCTTTTGACCCTCATGGGGCCCTTTCAAGCTCAGTTTCATTAGAACACATTTACAGCTAGTGAAGCAATCCCCCCTAAGGTCCCAGAGCAGCACTGGGGCCAACTCCAGGTCTTTCAGCTCTAAGGCCTAACACATTCTCCTCTCCCCGCGGCATGTGGCATCTGCTATGTGTATCACTCCCTTCTGGGCAGAAGCTGACTTCCCTGGGGCTAAGAAATACTCAACCAATTGTGTTTAAAATACTCGTATTAGTTCTAAAATTATGCAGTGGAAAAACAAAAAGTGGACTCCTCCTTTTCCCTTCCCTGCCTCCCCCAACCCCTTTGTCCTCTCCCAGGGCCAGCTTCTGCCTTGGCCTCTTGGAAACACATGTCTTTGTCTCTCAATGGAACTGGGGGCTTGGAGGGTTTCAGGTTCTGTATTTGGGATGATGTTAACCCATCTCCCCAAATGGGATGCTTGGGTAAAGTACATATAAGACAAATAAACCTTTCTCCTGTAACAACTGAGAGATTTTTAGCATCCTCTAAGATGGGTGTTATGCTGAAACAGGGGTTCTCAAAGTGTGGTCCTCAGACCAGCAGCAACATCACCAGGAATCTTGTTAGAAATGCAGATTCTCAAGCCCCACTCCAGACCTGCTGAATCAGAAACTCTAGAGGTGGTAGTCTGGGTTCTAACACGCCCTCTAAGGGATTCTGATTCACACTAAAGTCTGAGAACCACAGATCTACCTAGCATACTTTCCCAAGGCTTGAGAAATGGGATGTTTCTGGAAAATGAGAGACTATCCCTCTCTTATCTATGCTTTCCCAAAGGCCCCTCTTTTATCCCCAGTAAAGGGTATATACATCCTGTTCTCCAGGAAGAAAGAGAGAAAGGTAATTAGAAACCAAAATCAAACCCATAATCTCACGTTGCCACATGTGGTGGTATGCTGTGTTCCTGCCCTCTAACCCTGATTCTGCCCTCACTCCACTTCCCAGGGTGGGAAGGAGAGGGTGGATAGGCAGGATGTGGAGGACAGGACCTCCTGAGGGTGGTGGTCTCCAAAGTCCCTCCCAGACCTGCATTGCTCCCCTCGTGCCCCCAGGGTGGGCCACCTCCTAGAGCTGACCACGGACATGCTCAGCCACCAACTAGCAGTGTTTTTGAGGAAGGGAATTCTGCTGACTCTCACTACGACCACATCATCCTCCCACAGCCAAAGGGATGTGCTGGGGGTGCAGCCCTGACAGCCTCTGGGCATCTGTAGCACCCCCATGCCCCACACCCCACCCCAATTCCTGAGCTTGGGAAGGACAGGTGGAGGGGGTGCTCCTGATTTACAGGAATTTTCTTGCTATTACCAAATGAGCTAAAAATCTATCTATGTAGCAGGAACTGGGGAGAAGGGAATTTGGTTTAGAGGATGGTTATGGTGGAAAATGCCTCAAGAAAAGGGAAGGGACAGGCTGCCAAAGAAAAAATGAACAAATTGCTCCTTGCTTATAGCCTAGAGAAAAAGCTAGAACATGAAAATTCAACCACCCCGCCCAAATCCCTCAGCATTTCCTCTGTCAGGTCTCAGGTGGGCTATGGGTGGCAGTGACACCGATGTACCTTGGAGGGGCTCCTTCCCAAGTGGCTGAGGCAGAAGGAAGGATTACAGTGGAAGGTGGTAAAGTGCTATAATAGAGACACATGCAGAGCGTCAGTTCTGCTTGAGAAGTTAGAGAAGGCACCACTCTCCTCCTGTGCTCTCCACATCCCAGGGACACAGGCCCCTTTCCTTTGTGCCAGGTTCCCTCCCGCCTGGGGCCCTCACACATGCTGTTCCCTCCATCTGGAATCCATGAGCCCCAGCCCTTCTCATGATTGCGTCCTTCTCTTCTCTTCCCGGTCTCACCTTCAATGATACCTCTGCAGAGAGCATGCCTGTGACCGCACACTAAGGCGGGGGTCCTCAAACCGTGGTACCTGGACCAGCAACTCTGGCATCAGTTGAGAATTTGTTGCAAATGCAAGTTCTCAGGGCCACCCCAGACCATTTAAATAAGAAACCCTAGGGATAGGCCCAGCCTCCATGTTCTAACCTGCCCTCTGGGTGTTCTAACACACTCAGGTTTGAGAACATTTGCCTTAAGGAGTTTCTACCCCCACCCCTCACCCTCCTGTAAGTTCTTTCAGAGGAGGGATTGTTCTGTTCCAGGCACCACATCCAGCACCCAGCAACGTGCCTGACTCAAAGTGGATATTATGGAAGAAAGACCCATGAGAAAAGTACACAGTTGTGCTGGGTCTTGAAGAATGGGTAGGAGTTTTCCAAACAGCCAGAGGGGCGGAGAGAGATAGAATTGTAGACAGAGGGCACGAGGGATAAAAGATAGATAAGTAGCTCAGTACAGCTAGAATTTCAAATATGTTAGGAGAACACTGGTATGAGGCTGGAGAGACAGATTAAGGGTTTGATTATAGGGGGCAATGAATGCCAGGCTAATGAGCTTGGAATTTATTCTCTAAGCCACATGGTTCTCTACCTGGGTTGCACACTAGAATCACCTGAGAAGCTTTAAGAAAACACCAAGACCCAGGCCCCATCCAAGACCAATTAAATCAAAATCTCTAGGCACAGAGCCTTAGTACTGGTATTTTTTAAAACATTTTCTATAAGATTTTAATGTGCAGCAAAGGCTAAGAATGCCTGCTGTACGCAGTGAGGAGTCATCAAAGTTACTTAAGCAGAGGTATGACCTAACCAATGTGTGTTTGAGGATGGGCAGATTGCAGGATGGGTGGTTGGATAGATGGATGGATGGACGGATGGATAAATAGATGAGTAAGTGGAGGGATGGTGGATAGATGGGTGAGTGGAAGGATTAGTGGGTAGATGGATGGGTGGATGGGTGAGTGGATGGATAGATGGATGGGTAGATGGGTGGGTGGGTGGGTAGGTGAATGAATAGATGGGTGGATGGGTGGATGGATGAGTGGACTGATAGATGGACAAGTGGATGGGAGGATGGATGGGTGTGGGCATAGGCTTGGGGCTGGAGGGAGGACCAGTCGGGACTTGTTTAGTCCAGGAGAAGAGAGAGGATGAGGGCCTGGGTGGGTGGCAGTGTGGCCAGAGAAGGCTGGACTTGAGAGATACCTCAACAGAAGAGCAGATAATCTTGGAGACCTCCTGGAAATAGAAAGAAAGGAGGAGGAGGGAAGAGTGGATAGTGATTCCAAGCTTTGGATCTCAGGCAACAGGGTAGATGCTGATGACACGGACTGAGATAAGAACTGCAAGGGAGAAGCAGGTTTGGGCAGAAAACACTTTGCACATCCATTTTTCACTGCTTCCTAGGTGCTGATAGAAATGGAAAGATTAAAGGGGAGATGAGATAATTGAGCTGTTACTTAAATTACTTCAGGGGCTTAGCTCAGTCTGGGATGCAAGAATTGAACAGCATCAGGGAATTAAATGTACAAAATTTACGGAAGTCACAGCCAGAAGGTGAATTTCAGGTGGGGGAGAAAGACGACAAGTGATCTTGAAAGGGTACGGAAATGCTGGGATGGCTTGGGGACCATTAAATTAGGTCGCCTGGTCAGAGAGGCTCGGTAAGAGAAAGACAGAAAGGACAGCACTTTCCTCATCAGAGGCTGTGGGCAGGAGGCAATCTGAGCAGTCTCAGACGGGAATTCTGCAGAGGCGGGACGGGCGGCGGAGGCAAGGGGCACAAAGTTACCTGAAAGCAACCGAGGACTCATCAAGCTAGAGCGAGCAGCTGCTGGAAAGATGAGGGCCTTGTCTCTCTCAGGCTTCACTCACTGTGTGTGTGTGTGTGTGTGCGCGCACACGCGCTAGGCACAGCGAGGGATGGAGCATGCAGCAGGGACCACAGCAGGCAAGACCCTGCTCCCACATGCCTTGCACTCACTCAAGTGAGGGGGACACACAAGGGAGCAGATGATGACACAGCCTCCTGAACGTAGTGATGAGAGAGAGCTGTGGAGCAGAGGAGGGCCCCCTTGCCCACATTTGGTGGTGAGGTGGTGGATGGCTTTCCAGAGGAAGCACTTTCTAGACTGAGAAATAAAGGCTGCAGTGGAGTTTGAAAGGGCAGAGCTTTCTAGATCAAGAAATACAGTGAACAAAGGCCAAAAGGGAGGCTGGAAAGATGTGGGTGAATAGAATGTAGTCGAGGGGGGGCTCGAGCATGGTATTCTGGGGTGGAGGTGGGAGTGACAAATGAGGTTGGAGAATTAGGAAGAAGACACATAGCCAAGGTCCCATTAGAGAGTTTGAGCTTTGTTCTCAAGTCGGTGGGGAGCCATTGAAGAGTCTAGATCAGGGGAATGAAAGGGTAAAATTTAATTTGCAGATTCTCGCTTTGACTACTCTGCGGAGGACAGGCTCAAAGGGGCCAAGAGAGAGAAGTTGAGGGCCTCAAGAAATACCTAGGTAGTGAGAAGACTGGGCCTGGAGATTGACTGGATGGGGTTTGGGATGGGGGTGAGCAGGGAGGAAGAGACATCCATGATGAATCCCAAGTTTCCTGGGTTGGGTACCTGGGAGAGCAGAGGTGGCATCTGCTAAGCTGAGGGGGAGGAGGGCAGTGGTGAAGTAGGGAGGAAAGGAGAGGAACTCTGTTTGAACATGACAAGTCTAAAGGGCTTCTAGAACACCCAATGGTGATATCTGGGCTAGAGAAACAAATGGGGAAGCTAGCCGCAAGCACTCGGATGGTATTTGAAACCACCGAATGACACAGAACTCTTTACAAATGTGCATGACCATGTGGCAGAAGGGGCAAATCCTTGGGAGGCCTGGCTAGGCTGCAGCTGGAAGGATGGGGCAGGGCTGGGCTCCTCTCTTCCCTTGGTTACCGAGGATGGGGATAATGGGCTAGCCCATCCTTCTCTGCAGAGAGGCTGCCCGGGCCTGC